AAACTCTATTTTTTATATAAAGGACCTGACACGTTATGGTAACTGCTGATTGCCTTCTTTAGTTGTGTAGCCTTTCAAGAAATGTTTCACTCTATTCTTGTCAGTTTGATAGTGTAAACTCTATTTTTGATATAAAGGACCTGACACGTTATGGTAACTGCTGATTGCCTTCTTTAGTTGTGTAGCCTTTCAAGAAATGTTTCACTCCTATCAAACTGACAAGAATAGTGGTAATCACACTATGTATCAAGGTATCACCTGACCTGCCAGTAAAAAAAAACCAAAACGATTGATGTATACTTCCATACAGTGTGTTAAACTTTACAGATATCCCTTCCACAAGAGGGCACGTGACACTATAAAAGAATGACCCAGAAATAAACAAATGGGACAAAGTGAACTTGGCTACTTGAGTGACCAACATTCTATGTTTAAACCACATATGTACAGAAATGTTTATAAACTTTTCCACATTAAACAAGAGGATAGAAAACATAGTACAACAAGATTTTTAATGCACACAATTATTGATTGTACAGAAAATACATATGCAATACGAGACACTCCTCACACCCAGTAATTTTTCAGTAGTACCGTATTCAAAAAAATGGCAGGGATGTACTAAATGTACAAACAACTAAAAATATACTTTTGTATTGTACAATACTGAATACTTTAGTTTTTCATTATAAAAAAGATTAACTAGTAGCTGCATGATCACAGTAAACAAAAAATAGTATAAGCTTTCCTTTCTATATCATTTCATGGGTTTAGTTAAAAAGTAACTGAAAAAAATGTAAGACATCTGTGATATTTTTTTTTGGAACATTATCTTCTGAAATACTAATTTTTTATTGTAAATAAACCACGTGGCTGTTAATGAGAAAATATATAAATTATTTTTAAAGTGTAACTGCTAGAAGACCAATTAAATAAATTTCACAAACTAACTAATTGATAACCTAAAGAAGATTTTGATTACATAAAGTATATAATACATATCGACCTGGCAGGTGAGTGCTACCAATAGTTAGGAAACTACTATTAATCATTTACTTTTATATCTACCAGAACATTCATTTATATGTCTTAGAAATTAATAATTGGTCAGTCACTTTTCTAGTGAATATTGTCACCTAATAAAAAAATACAGAAACTTAAAAGCAAGATGGTTTATTTGAAATCCATTGTGATGCATGATAATTTATATACAATTTGTTTTAATTTACATATCTCCAACACTCCATTTGTACGCTTCTTCATCTAAAGCTTTTTTGCTTGCCACTTTTTCAAAACATCTTTTTTCAAAACCATTGGATCGATCCACTCCATCCCACCGATATCCTGGCATGATTCCAAATCGATTTGGTGGAGGAGGAGGGCCTTGGTAAATCGGTCGACCTAAGTGTTGGAAGTTAAAATGTTTGCATCGGTGTAACACAACAAATACACTTCTTTGGATTCAACAACCACAATTTTTAGAATGTCAGATAAAAACATTTTACATATATATTGAAAAGTATCATTTAAAATAATGCAAAAACATTAAAAAAAAAGTGTTTTTATAGTTCTGAAAGACGATTTCTTTGTAACTGTTTTTCCACTTAATGTAATTTTGTTGACAGCTACAGCAGAACGTGAGTGTAGCACAACCACACAAACATGAAACACTTTTGTTAGGTCAACTAACGAGACACATTGTTTATGAATCCTGTATATCATGATAGTCTCCATCTACTATATATATAACTATTTCTTTAAAAAATCAAATACAGAGAAAGCAGATAAAAGTCAAATAACTTATGACTTGCAGAATGGCTCCGAGTTTTTAAAGTACAAACTTTTAGCTCTGTCATCTCTTGACCGATTTGAGATCTAATTACATTTTTTAAACCTGAACTCCAACCTTAAAGAAGTATCCATCAACCTCAACACATGGAAGGAAGATGCATCCAACCATTCCCAATGGCGTTATTTAATCCATCATGCGACAGAAACATTCAAAACTGATTGATGGGAAAACGAGAAGCAGAAGCGACAGAAAAGGAAAGAGAAAGAAACCAACCCTTCATTGCAACAACATCTTTCTCTGAGCACTACCTGCCAGAGGTGTTCCAAACAATTTAAATGTTGAATTGGGCTGTTCAGTCACATAAGAACACATTCACCCTAGGAGACGTCGTCTTTGCTCGTAAAGGACTAACATTTACGACTAATTAAAATTTTGGATCATGCCGAAGGTCTCATAGATTAATTTATTCTAATCCTGCCTGAAAGAATTTCCATTTGAGGGTAGGCAGGTAGAGATCTTGATGAGTAATAAGCTCAAACTGGGTATATGTGCACCCTATGCTTGGTACTGCTGGCACACAATAATATAGCTAATAAAAAGGTATTAATTTACTCAAAAGTCTGCCTAAAAGAAATGCCACAGCTACTGAAGATTCCCTCTTGCTTTCAGTGAACTTTACCCAAGAAACTCTTACTTGTGCTTTTTCCCTTTTCCTTGCTTTTCTTCTTTCTTATAAAAGCCAGCATTGGATCTCCTTCTCGTTCCTGTTCTTTAAGTTCCCTTTCCAAATCAGGATCATCAACATATCTGGCCAAAGGCTTAGACATTTCATACAAGTCTTCTTCAACACGTAAATGTTGCTGTTCCTTTTGTTTTAATCTGAAGTACAATAAAAAAACTTTATAAAATTACAGTAATAGTATAAACTTGACTACTTCAAAGCTATTATATTAATAATAAATCCTATGTTTCAAAATGAAAATTTACTTCACACACATTAGGGAAACTGTCCCTTAAAATATATATTTCTGAAATGTACAAAAAATTATATCTAGACTACAAAATTAACACGTAACGGTTAGTCTTAAATAACATGAGATTACAAATCAGTATTTAATCAAAACTGAAGTTTCACTATAACTTTTTGTAGGAATTTTTTAAAAACAATAAACTGATACAGTAGTTTACCACAATATTTAAAACCCTGTATGTGTGCCATATTCGACAAAATCAAAGCATAAAATACCTGGAGACATACTGAAATTAACTCTTGTGAAACTGACCCTTTCCCCCACTCCATATATTTTTCTTCTACTTCTGCTTTCTTTTGCTCCTCTTGACGCTGTTTTCGCTTTTCTTCCTTTAAATCTCGTTTTTTTCCCGTAGCGCGGTCTCGGAAAATAGTTTCTGCTCCTTTACCAGACATTTTATCCCCTATCTGTTTTGATATAAACAATATTATTTTCTCTGTCTACCAAAGTTCTATTTGATCAAAACATCTGGTAACAGTAATGATGACAAAAGTATTTAAATCCCAAAATGCTTAACTTTATCAAACTTTTGATGTTTACATTCAAGTCTTTGAGTTATTAAAAACTCCAATGTTGTTATCAAAGATAAGCCGCTTGTTTTAGGAATCTCTGAACATTAATATCTTTCACACCTATACACGAATATCTGAACTAAAAAAAATCATTCTTGGTGAAGAATTTTATTAATGGATTTTTACGTAACAACAACACACCCTTCTTAGATTTGGGTAAATTATGGTCTTTTACATAATTATGTCTGTTGTAGGTTAAACAATGTGATATACACCGTATATATAAAAAAAGACAAAGAACTTCTGAAATAATTCAGTTAAAGTACAAGTAAGACAACTCATAATTCTCACCAATATAAATCGGGATATAAGAAGGAACAAGCATGAGTTTCATTGATTAGTTTAGAGTTAGAATAGTTTGTTGATCTCAATCAGTAGTTCATTGGCTAAAACAGACTTGAATCAGTAGTTGAATTGGCTAAAACAGACTTGAATCAGTAGTTCATTGGCTAAAACAGACTTGAATCAGTAGTTCATTAGCTAAAACAGACTTGAATCAGTAGTTCATTGGCTAAAACAGACTTGAATCAGTAGTTCATTAGCTAAAACATAAATATTTCCATAAATATTTGAAGGTTTTAATATACGGTAAACGGCTTGTCATGGTTTTCATAGTCGTGTGAAACCATTAGAAAATCTTGAGGAATTCAGTTAACAAGACCAATCAATATAGTCAGAGATAAAGCTCACAAGAATATTCTCATCTTTACTGTTAATATAATTCTAAGTTGTTAAGATGTTTGGTGAGTATTCAGAAAAGCTAGTAAAATTAATTTGATTTTGATACTACGATCACTTTTGTACGTTATCCTCACCTACAATACAAGGGTAGGGTACTCATGTAAAAAGTGTTTGTTGTTTCAACACGCACTTTGGAAATACTTCAATCTGCATCACTGAATACATTTATTGTCACCAAATAAAATCTTGGGTGAAACAAGTTTACACTTTCAGTCCTGTTAATCTTCAAGTCTGTTTTAGCCAATGAACTACTGATTCAAGTCTGTTTTAGCCAATGAACTACTGATTCAAGTCTGTTTTAGCCAATTCAACTACTGATTCAAGTCTGTTTTAGCCAATTCAACTACTGATTCAAGTTTGTTTTAGCCAATTCAACTACTGATTCAAGTCTGTTTTAGCCAATTCAACTACTGATTCAAGTCTGTTTTAGCCAATTCAACTACTGATTCAAGTCTGTTTTAGCCAATTCAACTACTGATTCAAGTC